ACTGGTAAGAAAAGACTTAGGCAAAAATATCCTTACTGCAATAATATTGAGTGAGAGACATAGATATCTTTCTCCTTTCTTGTATATTTCTTTAATCATTGTGATCACTGAACTATTAAAGTAACCTGCACTACTGCAGTATACTAACCTGGACCTAGGTATGATACTTGAAAACAAATTAGGTTAAGCTGCCTCCAGAACTGACTTTCCCTGGTTTCTTTTTCTTTCTTTTTCTTCTTTTGAGTACTTTCTGCACTATCTTGTACCTGCCACTAACAACACACATGTGACTCATATTGTCCAGTTGTTGAGATGAGTCAGAGAACTGTCTACATACTGAGTTCTGGGAAGAAATAACCTACTGTGCTCATTAACAGAAAGACATTCTCCACTTCTGCTTGTACTCTTCATGGATGCCCTGCTCTCCCCATCAGAAGTGTGTAAATGTAGACAAAGATTAAAAGAACTAAATGTTACACAAGTAAAGTATGCTTGGTAGCCTAGATGTGCTTCTGCCCTTTTTAAGGTACTTTATCCTGAAATATGTGAAGCAACATAAAGCGAGATGTTTTTAGGGCAGGCATAGTGGCAGATAGAATTGCAGGCACTTCCTTTTGCAGAACTCCATTTTGCTCTGGTTTATCGCAGTGTGGCCATCCATCTGCAGGACTGTTTAACTGGAAACACACAGAATTGTTATCAGGATTGTTTGCAGTACCGAAATCTTCAGATTAATAACTATCAGTTAGTAATGACTTCATTTAGCTAAATCTAGGTCATTTTTGAAACGTGCGTGGGGAAAATAAACTGCATAATAAAAAACAAACCACAGTGTAGCATGTGTAACATTGCCTGATGGGTGAATCAGGCACAAGTTACTCAGTTCTGTTTACAGTTCTGAGAAGACATATAATTTCTGTCCATGGACAGAAATGGGATGGCTCTCTCAAGTAGGTGTATACTTTTAAAAAGAGCAGTGCTTTTGGTCAGGCTTATTTCTGAAGCCTCAGAAATAGCAGGCAGATGAAATCTGTATGGCATCCTAAGAGTACAAAGCACTGAGAAAGTTGATGAACTTTTTAATTCTTTTTCTTTCTTCTCGTGGATCTCAGAGATTTGTGACTCAAAGTGTGATTATTTATTTATTTATTTTTCCTAGTAACAGTGGTGATTTTTTTCCCTTCAAAGATAAGCAGTTCTATCTCAGGATTTTTTTTTTCCATAGCATGCTGCGGGAGTGTGATGTGTTACTGTTCCCACCAGGTGGAGCTCTTGACATACGTAATTAACGTGAAATGTGTACCGTTGGTGAATCTCAAGTAGCTCCGTCGAAATCCAAGTTCAGATCGTAGGTCATCAATTAGGTCTTCTGTAGTTCGCGTCCTTCCAGAAAGCAGTATTATGTACAACATAAAATAGCAACTATTGTTTTAGTACGGTAGGGTAATCTCTTGGTGAAGGCAGTGCATTGATATTAATATTATTATTATTTTGTAATTTTAAGCACTTAAGGGTTTTAATTAAACATTATGATAATACCCCTGTGAATTAACAACCAATACATTTTTATTTTCATTAACCTGAGATATAAGTCATTTTAATACTAAGAAAAAATAACAAATACTGATTCTTATAATGGTGAATACTGCACTGCCTATGCTGCACTGTATGCAGGTCCAGAATTTGGCTGTGTTGTCTGGATTTGTTTGATAACATTTTACATGCATAAGAAATCTGATAGCAAACTAATTATGTTACTCAGTGTTTCATAAACATGTCTGCCAATGACGGTAGATTTGAATGTGATGCAAAAGTATCAGGAATGGTGAGCTGTAGCTACTGGAAAGCCCCAGAACACCAGGGAGCAGCTAAGTCCAAAGGCATTGCTACGACCACAAGCAGACACTCAGGCAGTACAAACCCAGTGGTGGAGTTCCCCTGGCAGTATCTTTTTACAGTCTTGTTCTCATTTTAGATATATTTGGTCTGTGGTGTTTTACTACTGTTTTCACTTATGAGCATGTTGAAGAGCGCGAGTACACACTGATACAGTTCTACTTTTGTGATAGTGATATTCCTTTTCCACTTTTCTTTGAGAACAGTGTAAGGAGACCTAAACTTGGAGGGAAGCAGCAACAAATAGAGCTTTTTTCTCATTTTGGTTTTGCATCCAGCATAGACATTGTGTGTGGCCCACGCAGGAAGGACTCGTGCATGCACAGTATCTTTGAAGGCTCAGTCGGGTGCCTGTAGTCCTCTTACTCTTTATTTCTGCTCCAGAAATGGCACTCTGGGGCAGGTGGGTGTCTCTCTGTGCCTACTCTGCAGGTTTCCTCTGCACCTCTGACTTTTTCTTGTAGTAATGCTCATAGAACCAGCTTGTGGTGTTTCAGAGCACTCAACATCAGTTGTCACACCTTCCTCTCATCCCTTCCCTGTTCTTCTATAAAGGTATAAGTGATACAGCCTACACGTCTCCCCTCATTTCCTCAGATGCCAACAACTTGCCCAATAAGCTCACTTAATAGGAATGCATCTGGCACCTTTCATCACCATAGCCAGTTCTGCTTCCCACTCTGACCAGTGTTTGCCCCTGGTGTGAGTGTTCCTGCTGGCAGCTGGGGTCACTCCTCATCTCCAACCACAGTCCTCATGGCCCAGCCGCTCTGGGCAGCGCGAGGTGTCTCTTGCAGGCAGCCTGCCAGGCACCACAGGAGGAGATTGCCTGCTTGTCACACTGTGCTCCTTCCAGCTGTCTTATCACACTGCAACAGCGGGAAGGGTGAGGGGCATTTTCCCCTTTGTGAACCATTTCACAGGTCAGCAGCTGTGGATTTTCCTCTGGTGCACTTAGGAGGAAGGAGCCAGCCTTTCAGCACATTACCCTTATTTTCCTCTTATAAGCAAAGGAGGATAACCCTCATGGCTTTCAGGGGTTGATTCATCAGGCAAACAGGAATATTTTACTGTGTGGATTTTACTCTAAGAGCATATTTGTAAGCAAGCAGTCTCTCAGGAACTGGCTTTCTTCCTTTGCCATGGGGGACAGCTTATTGCCTTCCTTACTTCTCCAGATTCAATTCCTTCTCTCAGTATATTGCCCAAGGTCAAAAGGAACTAAAAAAGCATCAAGAATCTAGTTAGGAATGTTTTAATCTTCTGTGAAAGGCCAGGTTCTTACTAGGCACTCGTCCATAGTGTTGTTGAGCAGGCACTGATGACCCAGACTGGCAGAACTCAGCTGTCTGTTTAGAGCAGAGAATCTTGAAGACTGTGGGAAGTCATATTTCTGTGAGGAGGCAGAGAGGAAAGTGCTGTCATAGAATTGTAGATCACAGAATCACAGAATGGCTTAGGTTGGAGGGGACCTTAAGGACCACATAGTTCTAACCCCTGTGTCATGGGTTGGGTGCCACTCTCCAGATCAAACTGCCCAGCACCCCATCCAACTCAGGTTGTGTGCCTCCAGGGATGGGGTGTCCACAACTTCTCTGGGCAGCCTGTGCCAGCACCTTACCACCCTCTGAGTAAAAAATTTCTTTCTAACGTCTAACCTAAACCTCTCCTCTTTTACCTTATAGCCATTCCCCTTGTCTTATCACTATCAGACTGTGTAATAAGTCAGTCTCTCCTGTCATAAGCTCCCCTCAAGTATTGGAAGGCTACAAGAAGCCCTCCAAGCCTTCCCTTCTCCAAGCTAAACAAGTCCAACTCCCTCAACCTTTCTTCATAGGAGAGGTGCTCCAGCCCTCTGGCCATCTTTGTGGCCTTATTCTGGACCTGCTCCAACAGCTCTGTAGCCTTTCCAGACTCGGGGCTCCAGGCCTGGTTGTCTTTCCCTCTGCTCAGCACTTGTGGGGGCTTTGGCTCACTGTTATCTGGCTCTTGAACTTCAGACCGAAGTCTGCTAGAGACAGCATTGACTCCATTGGAATTTCAATCTTCTTTTCCCCTGTCTTCAGATTGCTATTTATTTATTTATTTTAAACAGCTTTGCCTTATAGATTTATGGAGAAATCTTTGTAATAATGGAGGGACATTAGAGGCTAAAAAAATGCAAATGATTTTCTCACTCCCATTTTTTATTTTATTATTGAATGCTCCTTGTCTTGGGAGACTTTGTACCTTTGATTTCTCATGCAGTTCTCTCTCTCTCTCTCTTTCTCTCTCTCTCTCTCTCTCTCTTTTTTTTTTTTTATTGCTTCTTCTACTTTAAATTGCCCGTTGGCTCCTTTCCTCACTGTCATGCAAGAGTGTTTTTCCATGCAGCTTTCCATTCTCTAACAGCTCAACACTTACTCTGGTAACATCTGCAGTCATTTTTCCTACTTGAGGTTTCTAATTTTAGTATTCAAACAGTTAATAAAATAAAGCAAAAGAGCTGATTTTAGCCATTCCTGATAGCTCGGTCTCACTTCGGTAGCAGCCTTAGGCATGTGCATGCGATGATTTTGCCCTAGGGCATGTTTGGGTGCTGGAGGAGGGTAGTACAGAGGCTGCTCCTGGAGCAGACAGGCCTGGCTCTGGCAGCTGCTCTGGTCATTTTGGCTGGGGGCATCTAACACTGATGCAATTGGATAACTCTGCTCTTAGGAGTGTTAGATTTGTACATTTGCACTTTCTTACATTTAGGGAAGAGTGGAATTTGATAGAAAAGCGATCCATGCCATTTGAGGTGGTCAGAGAAACAGAATCTTTTGTATTCGTGTTTGAGCATTAGGGAATAAACAACAGACCAGTGAGGCTCAGGTCAACCGTGATGTAACTGGTTAAGCACCTGGATTAATGCTGTAAGGGCTGGGTTCAGTTCTCAATTTTGTACTACCTCTTTGTTTTAATGCTGATATTGGTGGAGTGCATCACATATAATGATACCATAAAATCAAGCTTGCATGCTTTTACTTTTTTTTTCTAAGAGAGATTTCAATAAAGATTCTTGCATACTGTATTTAAGTGATGGGGAGGAAGTAAACTTTGATTTTCTTATTTGTATTTACCAGGTCTGTATACGATGACCAACCAAATGCACATCAGAGGTTTATGGAAAAACTTGATGCCTGCATACGTAACCATGACAGAGAGATAGAAAAGATGTGCAATTTTCACCATCAGGGCTTTGTGGATGCTATCACAGAACTTCTTAAAGTTAGAGCTGATGCAGAAAAATTAAAGGTAAGGAACTAGTTTGTCAAGTTTTATATTATTGCCTTTAAATTAAAAAAAAAAAAAAAAAAAAAAAAAAGGGCCTTTAAATTAAAAAAAAAAAAAAAAAAAAAAAAAAGGGAAGGACTCGACTCTTCTACTGAAGAATAGAATTTTCTTGACCTATCACATACATTCTGTTATTTGAAACTGTTTTTTAAAGTGGAATTTGTAGGATTTGTGATGTATACTGTTTTGTCTGAGGCAGTAATGCGTTTATAAAGTTAAATATTTTATTAGGTCTAATTCTGATTTTCTCGTATGCACTTTCAGAAAATGCTAGCAAAAAAATTTTGTGATTTCTAGAGGCTTTCTCACATGGTAACAAATAGCAAAGTAATGGCAAAACCATAATTTCGTAGGTCTGCTTTTTCTAATCATGTGTTTACATGTCAGACCTTAGAAAGTTTCAAATTTTGATTAGAATAGTAAGAAGACTGCAATTATCCCAGAAAAATATGTTCTATTTACACTGAAAATGAGTAGGAGAGTAGGTGGACTTAGTAGTTTTCTTTAGAAATGAGAACTAAGATTTACTCACAAATCAGAATGCATTATAGTGAATTATGAGATCCGTCCCTTTTAGCTCTCTTTACACTTTTGAGAGCAAAATATGCACACCAGACAGAAAGAGTATAGTTCATCAGAGGTTATGATTAGAAGAGCATTATATAAAGGATATTCAGATAACAAGAGACCAAATACAGCGTCAATGAGGTCATTGAGCATCTTTGTTCAGAAATTAATGAGATTTTTAATAAACTAGAATGTGCTTCCTTATTATGATGACCTAATGAGTCACTTACTATGTGGGAAAATCTGAGGTCGAGCTTTGCCTGCACCTGCAGCATTAAAATGTTGCTGTGGTTTGGAGATTTCCACGTTTGATGTTAATCAACCACCCAGTGTTTGCATTCAGCAAAGTATGAATGTTTAATTACCATAAAATGCAATCACCATTTCTTACAGACAATGAATGGCCCATAGAGCTCATTGAGGTTATCAAAAAGGGACCAGTGGTCAATTGGGTCAATGATTTGAATTGTTTGACAGACCTACAGAAACAAGGAAAGTTCAAAAATCCCAAGTAAATTTGAGAAGTTTGCCACAGAATCTGTTAGAAAGAACTGTCATAAGTAATTGAAGTTAACGAAAGCCCTTTGCGATCAAAAGTTCAAGTTCAAGCTGTAGAGTTAATTTGAATTTGCATTTCTTTGTTCCAAGTTTCTCATGAAGCATGATCTGATTACAAGGGTGAGCAGTCACATCAGGGCAATATATGCATATTTGTCTAACAAAGGTGAAATTATTTTTAAGGTCCAAGTTACTGATACCAACCGAAGGCTTCAGGATGCTGGGAAAGAGGTGAGAAAATGGTGCTTCCTATATGGGCATTATGAATATTTGTAGCAAATCAAATGTGTTTGCATAATTTAATTGTAATTTTCTGTTAAAAAACCTCCAAGGTGATAGCCCAAACAGAGGAAATCATCCGATGTAGAGTTCAGCAAAGGAATATTACAACAGTTGTGGAAAAACTACAGTTGTGTCTTCCAGGTGAGTGATGGATGGCTAAAGATGGTTGTAAATAATAATAGTAACAAAAAGTAAGTAATGGTGGCTAAAAATACAAAAGAATTTTATTTTTTAAGCAGTGGCCCTGTAAAATCCAGTTTGGCAAAAGGATCGTGGTGTTTTAGAATGATGTCCACATATAGATTCTGTGACTTTACAGTATTTGACATAGGGTCACTTTTTGAGAAAACATCGTGAAAGATATAAACAGTGCAAATGAAGTATCTACATGTACTTTTAATTGTAGTCATACATTTAATTTGCTAAACAGTAAAGTTGTTCTTTATTTTTTTAAACTGTTTGAATTCTTCAAAAATTATGAATTTTTCTGTTTGAACATTGTACTTTGTTTCAGCTCTGTGTCATTGCAGTCTTTTATAATAAAGCATAAAGGCTCCAAATAACATTTCAGAAAAGTGATATTGTGGGATTGCACACAGCTCTATAAGGATTTCCTGCTTGTAGGATTTGATATGGTACTACGGATTTGAGAATTTCTTTTGTAAAGTCTTGCTAACTTATTCTGATTACAGTAGAGGGTACTGTTGTCATTTAGTGGTAACAGATCGTAGACTTGTAAAATAGGTAAAGTAGTGGTAAGTGAATAAGTATGCTTGAAATATTGTCTACTGTTCTGTTTAATCTTAGTTATTTTTTCTTTTAAAAGCTGTTATGAGGTCAGTTCCTTTTTCTTTCTTTTACCTGCATTCTAGAATCTTTTTTCTTCCTAGTTTTATCATGTTACCATTGTAGAAGGAATTCAATTAGACAAATTTAGCATATCCTTTTTCATGGTTTATTTTGTTCTTTTCAGTTATATTTCCTTTTTTATTAACTAAAACCACAATAAGATGCATGGGTTAATCTGCTTGTTTTTATGCAGTGCTGGAAATGTACAGCAAACTAAAAGAACAGATGAAAGTGAAAAGGTGAGTGAATTTATTTTTATTAGCAAAATACACCTTCTGTAAATAAACTGATAGATTAGCAAAAACTGGTGCAGACAAATAAATGTAAAGTCCTGTCGTCTGGACTTACAGTCTTCATTAATACCTGGTCTCTTTCAAGAATGCAAGTGAACAAATAGTGTACTGAATATAAGGACTTCTAAAAGCTTAATGATTGCTATGGAAAATAATGGTTAGTTAAATAGCATTAAATGACGATATAATTATAAAATGTGAAGTAAAATGGATTTTAGGTTTGCTTTTTTAAAAAATATTTGAGACAATTTAAGATGTGATAACAAGATCCTTAGGGAATAGAGATCTTTACATAACACATTAATATCTGCTTAGTCTGTCATAATATATTTGAATCAAATTTATAAACCAAGGGAAAAGGACATTTCACTCCATATATGTTTCTTCAGACTTGTCTGATATCTTTACACTGATCTTTTGTGTATGTGAGACTATGGGAAGAACATGAGAAAAATTGTTGTGTCTTTTCCACTGTCTTAAGGGTAAAAAAACCAACAAACATAGTGAAAAATAAAAGTCTAGGAATAATGTTTTTTAGTAGGTATTTCCTTCCTCTGTTGTTTCTTCACTTTCCGTCTTCTGAGGGAGCCAGTCACTGCTGCTCAGCTCCAGCGTTCCCAGTCCTCTCTGTGGCTGCTCTGCTGTCCCTGTCCCCCAGGGGCTGCTGCTGCATTGTACCTTATGCATACCCCCCCAGCAGCGCCACTACTTTCTTCTTCCTGCTTTATACAGGATCATGTCCACCTTACCCACAGCTGCTTTTCACACAGCCTCCGACACCGATTGCTCTTTCTCTTCCCTGCTGTACTTGCGATCATCATCGTGTCTCTGTGTGCCTGGCACCACTGCAGGAAGCTCCCACTAACAAGTCTGTCTGGACCTGACTGTCTCCATTTGGAACTGTCTGTGCGTAGTCAGATGTGTACATTCTAGACAACAATCTAAAATTGTTTTTTGACTTTATGTCTGGATTTCTATTATATAAATATCCAACACCTATTGCCGTAGAGCTGGACATCTGAAAATCCTAAACAACAGCTGCCATGCAAGAGCAAATCAGCTCTAAAGCCTGTGTGCACATGTCCAAAACACATCAGGTATACCATACACTGCTGATCAAGCAGAGCTGCAGCAAATGTGTTGCACACTAGTGTGTGGTACTTGTGTACATGTGCTATCTGGGAGGCTTTGGAAGAAATATCAGTGCTTTAACAAAAATTTGAAATTGTGCTTTTGCATTACAATCAAAACTTGCTGGACAGGAACCAGTTTGGTAGATCTCATCAACTTGACTGCTCTACACTGCTTCTTCTGAACAGGACACTGACATGACAGTAATTTAAAATAGCTGGCAGTGTGCTGTAGTATTGTTCTTGGAGCACCTGAGAAGAAATATGTAAACAGTCCAGTGTCCCAGCTACTCTGCACAGAGATTGTAGTGCAGAGTGTGCTGTCTGAGCTGCACCACTTCCCACTCCCTTCCTGGTCTGCAGAATCTGCTACATTTTGCATGTTGTTGATGTGGAAATGCTGGGATGACGGTCTACATTCTGCCATTCCCTTCTTCTGTCAGGCAAGGCAAATAACATTCTGGCTTGTCAGAGATGTTATAGTTCCTAATATTATCATGAAAGATCACCTAGGTGAGATAAAATAGCAGATGGCTCTTAGTGCATTGACTCCATGTTTACTAATAGGTTTGTAGTCTACTGCTGGTTGATGGGATTTTTGAAAAAAATATCAGTACTCTTTCAATCTAAATTTCCATTATTTAGGAAGTATCGATCTGATAATTTTCCCACGGAAGGAATTGCTTGCCAGACAGGAAATCTTAAATGTTACAAGTCAAGTGATGGTATACTGAATTGAAGGGTTTAGACGTGTCATTGTCATACCATAAAAAGATCTAAGGGAAAGGGGAGATGCCATAGCTTTGATGTACCATACCTTGAAGTCACACGAAGTACAGAAGGTTTAGGTTCTGCTGCAGGCTACTGCTACAGCTCAGGTATCTCTTTCATTAGTTATACTACACTTAAGACTTGGCCTGTGACTTACAATTCCTATAATACTAGCTAGAGGTGGATATTTCACGGTACTTGTGATTAGTTCAATGGTAATTTACTTGTGGCTTACCAAGCAACAAGTCCAAAGGATGAATGCATTTTGGTCTTTATCATTAAGTGATTCTGCACTGGCAAGGACATCCAGAACACCCCTCATAGCTGATATGTGCAAGTACAAAGAATTTAAAAACTTCTTAATCTTTGCTGTGATGCTTTCTTGGAAGAACTGGGGATATGAGCATTCATAACACCTGTCCAAACAAAATGGTGGGAGAGTTTATTTTGCACAAAAGATCATTTTTCTGATAAACCTTCAGTGAGGTTTGTTAATGCAGCTAAGCTTTCATTTGTATTTATTTTTTTTAAAAAAAATCTCTTTTCATTTGAGTTTGTTTTGTTTTGCAGCCTTTTAGTAACAACTTCATTATTCCACTGTCTTTAAATCTTTCACTGTGAATAAAACTAACGTTTCTTATGCTTAAGAAAGGGAAGAAGAAAGCATGGATGCTCTACACTTTTGGGGGTAGTTATTTTATGGTAAAGATTAGAATTCTGTTTTCTTTTCTCCAGGACAGCCAGCTAAATAAGATAATGTGGGGTTTGGCATCTGGAATACATTCTTTTTTATGGAGACAGAAAGAAGGTCTACTGAGGAGTCCAAAGAGCTATTGATTGGTAGCAACTTTTGGTCTCTGCCAACATGGGTTATGTTTGAACTGATGACCTAGAGGTGAAAGGCTCTGTATCCTATTTATCTGTTTCCTGAGCCATGCATAACACAAGTTGACAAGAACTATAGTTGTGAGAGAAAATAATTGAGGAATCTGCTCTAAACAGACACAATTGGCTAGAAAGATTTATGAAGGGTTTAAAGTCTTAGATGAGGAAGCACAAGGGAGAGGCCTAGTTTCTCCACTGCTCTCCTAAAGACCTGTTGGGATTATTATGTATTTTGGCAGTACTTTCTCCATCTTTAGTTCTAAATCAGAGATAAGATCACCATGCTTCATGCAGCTCTCTTGGCATGGCTACTGTGTTTAGGTTTGGTTATATGTGTCTGGAGAAATTTCCCAGCTTCTTCAGGAGACTGTAGATCAACAGTCTAATTGGGAATTGTTGGAATTGGTGGCTTTGCAGATCTTCTTTCACACAAACAAACAAACAAACAAAACATAGAGAAACTTAAAAACTAGCTGTTGAATTGTAAAGGCAACTATCAGTAAAAAAGTTGTTTGTGCGGTGACTTGTTTTCAATTGCAATTTCTCTTCAGCATCTGTGTGAATTTGACTCTTCCATGGTATATTGAAAAATTCTAGTTGAAGTCCCTCAAATTTGTCTTGTTTTGATAGGGAACAGAAAATGTTTAATATTTACTCAATGGAAATGTAATAAGCAGGGATATATGGTATTTGTCTCAGAGGGAAGTACAGAAGTCAGAAAACATTTTTTTTCTTTGTAAATTAAGTTTCTTTTCTTAATAACATTTAAATGAGAAAAAAAAGGGTCTTTTTTTTTTTTTTTTTAATCTAGCAGGGAATTTTAGTACATAAATATACATTTCTTTACATTAACATGTGCATGTAAACACTTTCTGCTTAATAAAATTCATGGCATTTGAATTGCTCCTATCCTGTACAGCTTTACTTCTCTAGTTTAACCTAGCTTTTTTAAGAAAGTTACACTATTTCTTTTAACTGCCTTCAAATGAAATTCCACTGATAGATCTTAGAAGTTCTTTGTCACTTAAAATATAACTTGCTTTATGTGCACTGGTAATAATTCAAAGTTATAATTGTTTTCTTTTTCTTTGGATCATACAAAACACTAATATTAATCTTCTGATTTTGTTTGCTTATTTTTTCCTGCTCTCCTTCATGCTGGCTTTAGAAGTTTCCTCTTTTATAGAGAAGATGTTAGTATAGATCAATCTATTTTACAGTGTTCTGGGCTTGATGACAAGATGGATCAGTTCTGTACAATCTTATCTTATAAACTCTTTTGGTGTTTCAGATTTCTATTTTCAGTTTCTGAGCTTATAATATAAAATCTATCTTGGAGAATGTTTTCTTAAAAGATTAGGCCAGAAGAATAGACAAGGGACTGGTTTATTTGTATGAAAGAAATGACAGTGAAGATGCTTCCTTAAATCATTTATATTTAAATAGACAATCTTCACATTCATGTGATAGATAATATATGATATAATAATATTATTGTCAAAACTTAATTCAAAACATTGAATTAAGTCTGTGGAATGTTTTTAAAGCAAAATATACAGATACATCATTGCTTGAAATGATATGCCAATTTTTTTTTTTTTAAATCCTGACTTACAGGTGACCTTCAAATTAATAAGATTTCAGTGCTTTATCAGAACAGATGTTAAAAGGGCAAGGTCCTGAGCTCCGTATATATATAATTGGTAAGGGACTCTAGAATGGATTTTAAATGGATTATGTTAATTCTCATCTTAGAAACAGCAGTCAAAAACCTTCCAGATGAACCAATAGTGTTCTGATAAGCTGATCTGTATAATTTAAATACAAACCTTTTATACAATTTTGATGCTATTACGGTTTTATTTCCCAGAAGTCTCACCATGTGGGCCCCTTGGTCATTTGCTAGTTCAAAAAAAACCAACACAAAACCACACAAATAAACCCCCCAGACCCTTTCTTATCTGTGACATTCCCATTGCCTTATGTATATTTTATATAAACCAAGTATATAATAAACAAAAGCTACTAATTTACACTTGAAACCTCTTTATTTGCAGTCTTCTGAAAGCAGTTGTGTTTTGGAGTAAAAGAGAAGGCTTTTTCCATACTGTGGCTATGCTGAATTGCTAGCTTACTTTAGAAATACCTTTATTGAGAAAATCTTAAAAATGAATGAATGAATGAATGAATAAATAAATAAATAAATAAATAAATGCATTTATTCCAGAGTAGAACATTAAGTTGCAACTGAGTTATTAAAATTTTGCTATTTCTTGTCGACGGAAGAGAACCATCAGCTTGAATTTTATTTCAATTTCAGTTGGAACATGTTTGTCTACTATACCTATAAAGTAATAGTACGAAGCATCAGAACTGAAAGGACACTTTTCCAGTTTTTCTTGAACATTTTCAAGGAACTTTGCACATGCTCTGTTTTTCATTTTCAAAATGATTCAGTAATTTTGCATTTCTAATTGTGTAGGAATTCAAGAAAGAAAAAGAGCCAAGGCTGTAATATGAAAAGCTAAAAATGGGCTAAGGATGTTGCCCTGTGTTTGTGTAAAGATTTGGAACTGAACAGAAAGTTAACAGTCTCATCTCAGTCCTGTTCACATTTAACCTCTTTCCTGCACATCTCTTTAAAATGTTGTCATCACAGTTTTCATGATCATGGCTGTGTTTATTGCCTTCTTAGTTTAGTTGTCTATTTCAAAATTAGTACACTTCTATTTTGCTTAATTTTTTTCAATACATTTTCACAATCAGAAGCTGATGTGACATTTGAAAATGATATAGAGAGAGCTATTGATTCCATGAATGGGCATGATTCAGAGCTCCTTGTGTGGTGCTCATCTCTCCACTTAAGAGGAAGCATAGGAGAACCAATTTCCATCTATAAATTTTCCACCAAATCAGCTGGAAGCTGATAACTTTACTTATGTTCTGCAGGCCTAAAGTCAATAAATAGTTCTAATAAGTATTGGCCCTGAAGACCAGAAAGGAACTGTAGTAAAAGATAGCGTTGATGTCAGTATTTGGAAGATCTCTGATATCAAAATTGCATTTATTTAATATTCTTATTGAAGAAATAAGATGACAGGTTTTTGATTCAAAGGGTGTTGTGCTATGATATAGATGTAAATCTGATTGTTCCTCTAGTTTAACATTTTTTGGAAAGGACTTTTTCATTTGGTCATCTTCTATGTTGCATTTTTGTAATAGCAGTACATCTCACAGACGTTTTTGCAGCAATGCAGAAATCAGAACAAGAACGTGAGAGATTTTTACTAGATTTTTCATCCTCTCATTTTGAGTTTGTGATACCTTTGTTAGTGTGACAAAAGTCATTTGTAAAGCTTTTTCATTAGAACTTGAGTTAAATTATTATTTATTACATGTAGTTTCTGTACAAAAAAAAAATCTATAATATTAATTCAAAATGTTTTGTAATAATGTACTGAGAGTTCACATCTTGTTGATTGTTTGGCATTTTCATTATCATAGTCTTTGTTTTATTTGATGGAAACAAATCTTCATTTTTCCTGAAATGGCCCATGATATGGCTTGTTTTGCTCCTTCCCCTACATTTACCAACCTTTGATGTTTTCATAATACTTGAAATACTCTGCAGTTAGAATGAAATCATATTTTATACTTACTTCTAACTGGAGTATTTTTTTAGATTCACTGTCACTTATGTAAATTTTCACAAAATAGCTTTTAATGTATGGACATGAGAGGAAATACTTCTTTGTGTTTTGTTCACTGACACTCTCTCTCTCAGGCTGTTTCTTCCATATTTCTGATACATATAGTCTATAGTCTAACGGTAAACTGAAAAACAGTGAAAATAATCTGATCTTTGTTGTTTTTTTCTTTGTTTGGAAAACCCCCTGATCTTAAAGCTTGTTCAGTGTAATCATTTTGTCTGTGAGGCATACCGTATTTTGTCAGAACAGCAGATTAGATGCATCATTTACAGTAGGCTGGAGATAAGTTTATACATGTCTTTTCCAGCTACGGGTGGCAAAAGGAGAGTGATTATGAATGTGTGTGTAGACATAAATCTAAAGAAGCCAGATATGTACAGGCACACATTTCCAAGATTGTTTTCGTTGTTTGGTGCATATACTCCAACACTGAGTGACTAGTAATTTGCATTTCAAAGATGAAACTAATTTAAACAGCAACAATGAAACTGATCTAGAAACAGAGATTATTGTTACGATTTTCCTGCCTCCATTCCACGAGCTACTGCATGTGGCATTAGGAATCTATTGATCAGAACAGCTAATACCACAGAAGCCTACTTAAAATCTTGACTTGTCTGACTCACTCTGAAAGCTCACTGTTTATTATTTTCTCAAACTAAAACATTGTACTGATGACCTTTTGTTTCACATTGTTCATTTGACTAACATTAATTTCAGTAATTTCATTAGATGCATGTTGATTGCTTGTGTTATATTGATATCTTATATATAATAAATAATGTATTTTATTTAAATTTGATAGGAAAGCTATATAATTTGATTTCATCTTTTTGTAGATATTATTCTGCTTTGAAGACAATGGAACAACTAGAAAATCTGTATCTTCCCAGAGTTAGCCAATACCGATTTTGCCAAATAATGATAGAAAATCTTCCCAAATTACGTGAAGAAATAAAAGAAATTTCTATGTCAGATCTGAAGGATTTCTTAGAGAGTATTCGAAAGCATTCTGACAGAATTGGGGAAACTGCAATGAAGCAGGTAAGCCTGCATACCAGGATGATTTCAGCCCCATTATCTACTGAAAACTGACCTAAAGTTTCAAATATTCTTCAAGAACTTGGTTAATTAACATAGTTTATGATACTTCTTCACTACTAGGATGAGTATTACTTATGAATGCTGCAGCTTTCTTGCTACAGCAAGTAAAATTTTGATTTGGCTTTTCTGTTGGGCGGTTACGTTGGATTGCTTCATTTTCTTCTGAAGTTTTTAGAATTTTGTTTTGTCTTTCAGAAACAAAATTCTTGTAAAATGCAGAGCTGATGAGTATAAATGAAACTTAAGAGTGTCCCTCAACAAGACTACTGGATGTTGTATTGTCCCATGCCAGCCCTGTGCATCCCAATCACAAAATAATACTATGCTAACTTGGTGCATTTCTTTCAGCAGTATGGACAATAAAGTACATTTGAGTGTATTTGACTTCTGCAGCTGTCTGGTCACTGGGGCTTAATTAAAGACAGAAAATAAATAGCTGGCAAACTGTTGCGATGACTGTACTTGAGTATTGATTATGTGCTTGCAGTTTATTATTGGGAAAATTGCAGATAGCTTTTACATTTTTTTTTCTGTTGCATTCTGGGGATTAGGGAAGAATTATGCAAAAAGAAGCTGTTGAATTTGTTTGTCATCCCAAATCAATTGAGGGCAAAACCATCAGAGTAGGCTGAGAGCACACTGGTTTGCATTCTATATGACCACCTGTTTTTCATGACATAGCATATATTTATAAATAATGAAATTTGAATTATATTCCTCTCAATTGGTGCTACTTTCAAAACAGGCACAACAGGAGAAAACCTTTAGTACCACTCTTCAGAAGCATAATAATGTAAACTATGGTCGGAATATGCATTTAGGTAGAAGCAGAATTTTGGACTCTAAGAATGAAATGACATTGAAGCGAACGTTTGAAGAAGATGATGATCATGATGAAGAGGTAGCCTTTTACTAAATCTTATTTAAAGTGAATTTTGCAGTTTTATTGAGCGAAGCTTGCAGTGTGCTGTCTATAGATGGAATAATATAGATGGAATAAGAAGAGAACATCTTCAATGGACAATGCCCAGATCTTCATTTTAGGGGGAAAACCAAGTGCAAAATATTAATTTCATTAATGCTAAATAGAGTGTCAAGTTTGGGGCCATTCAGTCGAATAGAGCATGTAATTTTTCAACTGAATTCAACTTGTAATTGTTCAGGAATTCAGTTGCAAGTTACATAATACACTACCTGCCCACTGTAAACTGTATGTGGTGCCCTGGAATATTCCTCTGTTGCTAAAGTGCGTGTTTCTTTATTGTGAACCTTAGCTTGTGTTAGCAGTCTTTCAGCTACTGAATATTCACTATCAATAGATTGAATAAACTAGCAAATATTTAGATATTTGTATTTGGTGCTCTGAAAACACAGTGAATAGAATGTTTTTGCAGCAGAAATGCAATCTAATACTCTAAGGCAGAGAGAAGAGGGAGTTTCTGTGATAGAACAGTTTTTCCTAAAGTTACTGGCAAAGGAACTGATGCAGTTGCTCTTGAAGTCATTAATGTAAGCTCCTTCCACTTTCTATCAAAACAACAGTTTTTATAGCCATAAAATCTGTCAACATAGTTAATTTTGCTGACCTTAATTTGGTCTTGCTTTTGTCTTCAATCCCAATGTATTTCCTTATTCATTTTAATCTTAAATTTATCAGATATTAACCAAATCATGTAGTTTTAAAGTTGGCATTTCCTTTAAAGTAAGATAATTTATCAAGCATTTATTAAGTGGGCAAGTTCTGTTGGTAATGTATCAGCAGATTATATGCCTTTTAAGCTTTATAACTTTTTCCTTTCCACAGGTTTTAACTGCTCAAGATCTTGTGGATTTTTCTCCAGTCTATAGATGTTTGCACATCTACTCAGTTTTGGTATGTATTAAGGTGGCTTTAAAAAGATCTTTTCTTTTCTGAGTTGAATGTCCTCTATTTTATTTCTCCAATACATACAGAACAAGTGCCAGGTAGATGAGTCAGCGTAGCACTGATTTCAAGTGGACAGATGGTTTCTACTGAATGGTCATCCTAATGAGATGGCTGGGATGTCACTTGAATTCCTCACAATGTAGTCATTAGGCATAGAAGGGTGTTGTATTTCAAGGACAGTGATAGGAGAAAAATTCAAATCATTAATCTTTGTATTTAACAATTCCAAAGGAAAGAAGTGAATATTAAATAGATTGTTTATTTTTCTCCAGCAAAGCTCTTGCATGCACTGTTCAAGTGTATCATATAAACACAGAAATGCTATTGTATCTTTGCAGTGCAATCAGTTTCTTGACTAACCTGAAGGTACATTTTAAGAGGCAATGAGTTTCAGCTGTAGAACAATAGATAATATGCCTTATGCATGAACATATTTATTCAAATGCATATTGTATGACAATATGTAGCAACATTTTTCTATATATATTTTTCTGCTTTTAAATACATATATGTAATCTGTAAATCTCATGCATTTTAAACTTCATTAATGTCAGCAAGAAGTCTGTGTGAAACAAATGCATAATGTGTGTCTTAATTTAAAACAGATTATTCTACACTTAGATTAATAAGTGATTTTTAATACTGAGAGAGTGACCTTGTTTTAACTACTTTTGTCTTTGTAGGGTGATGGAGAAATATTTGAAAATTACTACAGAAAGCAAAGAAGGAAACAGGCAAGACTAGTTCTGCAGCCACAATCAAGCATGGTAACCAATACTTTACTTTCTACATTGACTTAGATTGTATCTAATACTTAGTGGTATTTTTATTCTTAAACTTATTTTCTTTTTCACTGCAAGCATGAAACAGTAGAAGGCTATAGAAGATACTTCAGTCAAATTGTAGGGTAAGTTTCCTAAATGGAGATTTACTTCAGTTTTACTGTACTGATTCTTAATTCATCCTTTATTCTCCCACTGTCCAAAAACTTTCTTCAGTTTCTTCATAAATGATGTGGGTGTTGGTAGCTGTATCTGAGCATTCACATCCTACCATTACAGTACCCCCAAAAAGACCCTCCAGTAACCTGGGCTCCAGATGGCATGAAGCAAGTTTTTCACATTTTGACTTCATGCTGGGCAGAGCTGAACACCAAATCTACCAAAGTGTCACTGCTCCAATATGAAAGGGCTTGACTATACTTGTTTCTTAATAGTAGAGCAAATTCTACTCTGTCACTGAAAACTTAATTGAAGGATTGCTTTGTTTTAGTTTCTTTGTAGTAGAAGACCATATTTTACATGTAACCCAAGGACTGGTTACTAGAACTTATACTGATGAACTCTGGAACATGGCTCTTTCAAAGATCATTGCTGTTCTTAGAACACATTCGGTAAGTGAGAAGACTTATCAGTACTTCAGTTTAAATCCTTTTACTTAAGAGCTCTGAGTATTTAAAACTGAGATGATGACAAAGTGAAAAATTAAACCTCTCTGGTGTTTTCTTTTCCTTGTGATTAAAAATTGCTCAGATTTGGGAGGGAGCCTGCCAAGCTTTTGTTGTTCCTGACAGTATCAGGCTGTGATCCACAGCCATGGGCTATTTGCATAATCCTCCACTGATTTACAACTCACTGGGTCTTCCAAACCTTCTCTTAGTCCAGCAGTTTAGAATATGCAGAGTTAATCTGCTGTTATTATTGCAATCCTTCCTCATTAGTCTCAACTGACCTCTTCATTAGATCAGATTGAATAGTTCAGCACTGAAAGCACCACCAGGAAATAGTTCCTAATTATCATTCCAAATGCTGTGTTTCCAAAATAAACTCTATCAGCAAAACCCTTGAAGCTATCTCTTCAATGCTATGGTAGTATGTTTATGTTCTAGTAAAGATATTAGAAAAAAATTCATGATGTTAGAATGTAATTCTCTATCATTTGAGTATTTCAGTTTATTCAGAGTGCATCTTCTAAAGTTACTTTTCAACTCTAGCCCAAATGGTGCTGCCTGATATTTCTTATTCCTCTGTGGCAACCAGTGGAATATCGCTGCTTGCTGAGAATGTCTGCTAGTGAGTTGCTTCAGAGCTTATCAGGCTGGTTGAGCATAATTTTTGCTATCAGAAAATGTTGAAGAATTTTACCTTTCTCTTTTTGATGTTTGCCAGTAGCAGTTACATATTTAACATATAATATTTTACAACTCAAGTATATGTAGAAAAGAATAAGGAAGAATTCAAATTGCAACTATAGTTTTAGCACAGGAACTTTACAGATCAGTGTTACGTCAGATGTACTAATGCTTTTTAATTCTAGTTAGACCCAGGCTTAGTGTTCAAAACGAAGTCCTGTTGAAATCTGTGATATTGGTTTAGCAGAGCATTTTGAAGTGTGCTTATATGCCATGAAAGTAAATGTAATTTGCTAGTTTTTAATCTCAGTGCAACACTAACGTTTATTCTATCTCATGTTTTAGTTTACTTTTTTTCTGAGCTTTTCTGTTAAGTGATAGTTCATATAAGAAATTAAACAAATGCTTTAATGTAACTGCACTGCATGAAGGTAAGTGAGTCTAAGTTGTTTTTATCAAGGCAGTCAGTCAGGGACACAGGTAAGGCTGGAGAGTTCAACCTTCCTTCTGTGCTAATGTTCTTTGGAAACATATGTCCAGTATTTTGAATCATTTTAACAAAACCAGAATTTTTCACTTTCAGTCATATTGCAATGATCCTGACCTTGTTCTGGAACTGAAGAATCTCATTGTGGTATTTGCTGATACTTTACAGGTAGGTATTATATTAGCAATTTAATTGAAATTCATAGAGCCAAATTTGACCTTTAGGTGAGTACAGTGTTTTGGATCCCCCTGATGTCATATGTATAAGTCAAGAGTAAAGTTACAGAATAATGTTTTAAATAATGAAAATGTCTGTACTTTATGCCCTTTAGTCTCTTTTCAGTATTACCAACTGAATGTATGTATTTTGGGTGATCCGGTTAGCATCAGATAGATATTCATATCTATGCTACTGTTAGCTTTGTACCATGTGAACATTTTTGTCTTTTGTAAATGCTTTACTTCTGGACTTAATCATGAATTAACAGTCCAGCTATCATTAACTGTCTAGAGGGATGACCAAATGAATTTCATTGGCAAATATTCTTCTAACATTTACCAGACTGATAAAAAAGATTATTTATCTGCATAAATATCAAGTTAAAGTGTTACAGATAAATGGGAGAGATTTCTGCTTGACAGCTGAAAGCATGGTAAAAAATATTTTGTAAGAATGTAATAAATAATCTTCTAGTTGTGTATTTGGAGTAGTATAATCTGATTTGTAGAATTGATAAGATTGATCAGTCTCACTTCAGAGTCTTGAAGATGTAATAAGAATGAACAAGTTAGTTCTTGAATTATCCATCCTTTTCATTTTTATACCTTAGGGTTATGGTTTTCCTGTGAATCGACTCTTTGATCTTTTATTTGAGATAAGAGACCAGTACAATGAAACACTTCTTAAAAAGTGGTCTGGATTGTTCAGGTTAGTATTTCAAAATAATTGTGCCTTTCATATTGCATTTATTTCTTTTTGTCTTTAAATTTTGTTGCAGTTGTAATTCTGGAAGAATTGACTGAGTCAGTATTGCATATGAAGTTTGGATTATGTAAAACTAATGTATTCATTGCATGTAACTAATATGTAGGAGAAGAACCATCAAGGACTGCTTCTGTAATTAATGAGGAAAAGAAACCTCTTAGGGACTTCGCTAGAGAAATACCAAGAGAAGGACACCTGTTTTTCTTCATTAGTAACCTAATCATTCTAGGCAACTGCAATAGGCTGCTGCCAATCTGTTCCTAATTTCGGTTGTCTTAATGTTTAAAGTCAGACATTATGTGTATGTTACTGACACTTCTGATGTTGCCAATATAACTTCATGTTCTTTCAATGCAAGTAGGTTTCCACATGTTCTTTGGAATCATTTTTTGAACAAATAGTTAACCCGGGAGTAGAGCTCCAAAGTCTGTTTGTAGATATAGAGTATGATGTCTAAATGTGCAGATATTGTTTACCATAAAATATGTTTAATCATACTACAGAAAATCTTAAAATTAAATTGACCACTTAGTATTCTCACACTTTCTAGACTCCAATGGACTAGTAGAAAAGTCCAGAGGGTACTTAAGTAAGGCTGTGCACATTTGCCTATTTAAGTTCTCTGAATCATCTCAATTAGCACATGTAGCTGTGATACTGAAGCTGGATGCTCTGAGTATCTAGCTTTAGTGTAGGCAAAGTGTAGGTAAACATCTCCTTACATTTTTTTTCTGGAATAGACTTGTTCTGAAGTTCATTTACTATGTTGTGCTTTTGGACATGCATAGTAAATGTTTTCAGCTTTTTTTTTACTCTGTGATTGGACATAGCTTATAGAGTTTTCATATAATAATTATTTTTAAATTCATTTAAACCTAGTTTAGACTTCTGAAATTAGAATGATTCCAGTTCATAATATTTTGACATTGCACATATAAATGTAGTATTAAAATGTATGTTCATTAACATGTTTTGTTATTGTGAAGTACCATTAATAGATTACATAGTCTTATTTTTGTCACTTTATTAACTAATTTGCCAGGGATATTTTTGAAGCAGATAACTACAGCCCTATTCCTGTGGCAAATGAAGAGGAATACAAAATAGTCATAAGCAAATTTCCTTTTCAAGATTCAGAACTTGATAAGGTAAGGAAAAGTTTTATGTTATTAAGATTTGCCAAAATCCAATTTGGAATGGTTAGAACAGAAATTATATTTGTAATTAGAAAGTAATTAAAAATAGAAAAGCTAGGTAGATTAAGAGCGTAATTATGTATTCATAAATAAATATGAAAATTAAAGCTCTAATCACTTGCTCTGATGTTTGAGTGAATAATGAGACCTAGTGTTTTGTAAACAAATTAATAATTCATTTTAATTAATACAGGCTTTATTTAATGAGTTAACTTAGATTTTGTTGCCACACATTGGGTTTTGTAACCCATGGTATGTTATATGCTGTAGTTTTGCAGAAATATGGGTAATGATCATCAGGGATATATTAGAGATAGCAACTTCATTATTTCGCTTTGTAAATTAGTTATTTATTATCTGAATACGTGGTGCAAAGTAGATATGAAAGGACTGTAAATAATTCTGCTGTACTGGCATCCCAGTGGGATATTCTTTCATAGTGTCAGCCATTCTCTCTAAAATTTGCCTTCATAGAAGGGTGGTTAGTATGTTCTGCCTTCTGAAAACGATTTTGATAGAACTAATCAAGTAATATCAAATCTATGGTAGAATTTACATAAGGAAATTAAAGCATAGTGGGAGTAACTGGTGTAGAGGGAAACTGATTTATTCAAGATCCACTGCTGTCCTGAAAATGGACTCTAATTTTGTGATGTTTCAGCAGGAATATAGCTGATGGAGAACAATAAACACTGCAAACTTTATTGTAATTTAAATACATGTTTATGGTACATTTTGTTTATAAGATGTTTAAACAGATACAGAAGTCAGCTCAATATATACCACTGAATATATTTGTTTAAAAATGGAAAAACTTATGATAGATGAAAATATTGGTAGTGTTAAGGGATTTTCCAATGTTTAATACCAATCTCTCCTTAGAATCAGAGGATTATCTTTATTTTTACAGCAATCCTTTCCAAAGAAGCTCCCAATGTCTCAGTCAGTGCCTCAGATATATATCCAGGTTAAGGAATTCATTTATGCAAGCCTTAAGTTTTCAGAATCGCTTCACCGCAGGTAATCTACAAGTATTGTGAATGTGAATGAGTATAAACTATCCTATAACTTCCAGGTGAACTAACAATTTATATTAACTTGGAAATACATTTTCCTGGGTGCTTACTTCCTATGTTTGTTTCATAAGTTACATGTGTAATTCTTTATATTTTATCTGTGATTCCTGTACTATAATATATATTTCATGTATATATATATACATGTAAGTATGGAATGCAGGTATGTGTAGATGTGTAGATGAATTTAGCTTGGTGTAATGAACTCACCAAAGCAGTGCTAGAGCTTTTTTAACAGTATTGACTGATTTTTGGATAATCTGGAGATTTTTTTGTTTAACAAAGGCCTGTATGATTTCAAAAATATTCTTTAATAATGATCATTTCAGAAATAATTGCGTAGCATCCCTGATTACTTTAAACACCTTACCATTTTCAGTGCTTTTAGGTTCCTTAATAATTATTTTTCCTGCAATAGAATGTGCTGCCTGCGTGCTAATTCCCTCTTCTTTCCCACCTTTTCCTAAAGGAAAACATAACATTTCTGACATCTCCTGTTTTCTTGTGAACCTCTAAAGCTTAGTTGTAATTGTGTAAATAACGTGGCAGGTCTGAAATCTGGGAGTTATTTGTGGCTGCTCACCCACTTCTGCTCAGTTAAGGATGTAAATGAATCGCTTTCACACGTTCTTAATTGTTACTGTTTATAATTTACACGTACTAATTGGTGCGTGTTGACCTCCGTGGTAACTCATTACAAAACACAAATTACTCTTTCCTAACTGCTGTGTCAATAAACACGTCCAAAATCTAAAAATAACAGGTTTTGCTTCAATGTTGAAATGTAGTTAATGGATAATTTGGTAAATGAAAGAGGTGTTTTGTGTGTTAGATCACAGATGACTTGAAGCAACCAGAAATTCAATGCACATGGATAATTCTGAACACTAAAAGTTCTCTCTGTAAGGAAGAAATTGAGTTTTGCTGTGAAGTATTGTCACGTTTTAAGAATGCACTTTTATTTCAGCTCAACAGAAATAGATGACATGCTTAGAAAATCGACAAATTTGCTGCTAACAAGAACTCTCAGTAGTTGTTTACAGAACCTAATTAAGAAACCTCATATAGGTTTAACAGAGGTAAGTTTTAAAATACGCCCCCAAAACTGCGTTCTTCTAAGGAAATTAGTGCTAAAACGATTCCTGTAAATGTGGATATAATTCAGTATCGAGATTATGTAAGAAATGTAAGCAGTGTTTACTTTAAAATTGAATTTTTAAAGAGATGATAAATGTATAAAACGTGTCAGTGGGTGTGACATAAACAAAAAACCAACCAAACAATCAAAAACAATGTGAATCTTGGAAGTGTATTTACATAAGGATGCTTACTGACAGATAGATGGCAATGAACAAGTTTTGCCTCCTGTACAATAAACAGGGAATTGTGAGAAACTACCCTTGGAACTCTGCTTGCGTGCAAGCCACAGTTCCTGTGGGCTACTTCTGTCCAGCAATTACCAAGACATTGCTGAGTTTCTTTTTCCTCCTTAAAATAGAATTATAATTAAAAAAATGTTTCTCATGCGAGCTATGTGAGTGAAGTCGCTGAGTAAACCTGTCAGATGAGCATATCCAAAATCTGAAGTTGAGACATAAATTATTTTTTATATTAATTGTTAGTAAAACATTTTGGTAGGTTTATGCATATTGTTTCTTTTTCATAACTGTTTAATGTATTTATTGGGTGAAATACAATAGGGTGAAATAGCAAATCATGCCATGAACATTCACTGCAGGTACGTACGAGGTCAGGAGTAATAACTGAAAGATGATGCATGATGCTACTGGAAAGGAGTTAGACTGCTGCCATTACTGCAGTGCCATCTTCATATTTAATTTTTATTTAAAAATTGCATAATCTCTTGTGTAGATGAAATAAAAAGATGATCATGAGGAAGAAAGAGCTCTAATTCATATATTGCCACATTTACATGTGAAGCCATAAAATTTTTCTGAGAAAGATTTCTACATTCTTGAAATTGGTACAGGATATGAAAAAAATCACTAATATTTTTTAGGTATTTAAATATCAGGATGGTATGATGTTATTAAAAAGTTTAAAAGGTAAAGTTGTTACTTTTCCAAACATTACATTTGTGATCACTAAAAGTTATTGGAGCCAGACTGCAAGTAGTGAGGATATCAGAAATCATACACCATTGTTTCAGTTATTATGCATTACTGTGTTGTCTAATTTATGAACTGAATGTGAATGAAGGTCCTGCCTATAAGAAGAGGTAAATCATAACTTTATCATGTATATTTATATCTGGAGCAGTATGTTACCATTTAGGGGGGGATGCAATCGTATTTTTGAAATTTTCTAACTACTTTATGCATTGCTTATATGTATTTATGTATTTATTTAGGTATTTATTTTAATTGCAGCAGTGATGTTTGCTTTCTTGTTTCCTTGTTTCTATAGTACAAATTAGTGATTTAATTTTGGCAATGTTATCCTTTATTTTCCTTTTTTTTAATTCTAAAATAACAATTGAATTAATTTCACTGAGTATGTGTCTGCAATCTTCATTTTTTAAATGGCATTTGTATGTAAACTCTGGTGTTACTCCTTACTGGTATTTGAAAGCTAACTTGAAAGTTGTCAGTTAATAGCTGATAACCTGAAATACTGCAATAAACTTCCAGCAACAGTGTTTCTGAAAGAAGTCCCCATTTACAAAAATCAAATGTCAGTGGGGAATAGAAAAAGGCATTTTATGATAATTATTTGTTTCTTGTAGCTTGTTCAAATCATCATAAACACAACACACCTGGAATTAGCCTGTAAATACCTTGAGGATTTTATCTCTAACATCACAAACATTTCGCAAGTGACTGTTCACACTGCAAGGCTGTATGGACTTTCTACATTTAAGGTATGGTATATATCATCTGTTATACAAACACGTATGAAAAGTTAATTAATTTGCACTGATTTTAATGTATTTAAAAACAAAAAGGGAGTGAGTGGAAAGCTGTGAATTTTCTCATTTTGACTCTAAAAAAAATCTGTTAGGAATTATATTCTACCACAGCAGATGAACACTGTTTTTTATGTTAGTGGTCTGGGAATTCAATATACAAGAAGCATCTACATTCCCACAGATGCCTCTTTTATAAGTTACAAAATGAGAAACAAAGTTTGACTGCATCAGAAGCTTGCAATGGATTAAGCTCCAAGCAGTGTGACATCTTTGCATTTCTGAATGGAATCAAGCAAAACAGCTACTGTAATCTGAGTTGTTTTATGTTTGTGGTATGTTCTCAGACTATGTAATTTTAATGTAAAAGCAGTATTTAGTACATGTTATAAAGCATAGATTAGTCAATTGTATTTAGAATTCATATTTTTATTTAATATCTTCTACATTTATTTACACAGTAATGCTTATTAAAATAGAAATAGGGCTAGATATGAACAGTGATATTGGTGTATAATTATCTACAAAAAAGCTTTATTTTTTATCATTAAATAATAAGTATCCTCAGAGAAGGATTTTTCCACCTTTTATATTTTTATCATTTTTATCTCCATGACTGAATGGTTGAGATTATAATCTTCAAAGCTGTTCATTCAGAAGGCAAAATGTATACTGTATGGAATCACAGGTATTCACATCAAAGGTTTCAAAGCATTCTCATGAGAAATACGGTATTCTGTGGGGGGGCATTGGGATGGCATTTAAAGGAACAGCATTCTCTGTCAAGGTTTGCTGCTGGCTAAGAGATCAGAAATCTGTCACCTAATTCCCGCATTTCTCACTTTCTCTCTGTAAGCAAGAACTCAACTCAACTCAACTCAACTTGTAAAATAATTTTAAAAGTGCCATAAATTACTAATAACAGAAACTCTCCACTGACAATGAATGCAACCAGGTGATTGCATATATTGCAAAACCAAGTTTTGGAATTCATATATGTAAAATAAGACAGAAATTACTTCATCAACCAAGTCTAGCCAAGTAGCTTTTTTGGGGGGTTAGAACAGAAGCAAATCTGTGTGCCTTGTGAGTAGGAAAGGGATTTCGGGTTTTCTTTATGGAGAAAAAACATTCCTACAGAGGAATTATCCTGCATGGGTCATTTTATCCAGTAAATTCAGCAAGTGCATTGCCTTCCCAGTCATGTGGGACTCCTAAGTAGAAATTTTTGGAAAAGAAACAAAAAAGTCACAAGAGATTCCAAAGCAACTGTACTTGAACTTCAGCTATGTGGGTTTTTTTATAGTATACAGTGGAACAAAGACAGATAAGGGATAAGGGGGATTAATCCTATTGAGGGCAGTTCTGTTTTCTGCACCCCATTTTTTTTCCCTTGCTGTAATATGTGGCTTATTCTATATTGATATCCTCTCTGGCATACGTTAAAAGATTGCTGAGGTGGAATAAGACATCATCATCTTGCAATACACTTTATATTTCCAATTGATTGCCCGTGATTTTCCTATTTGTTGTTGTTGGCTAAGAATTTCTTCACTAAGACAAGGCATAGCACCTGTAGTGAGATTAACATTGCCCTGTCAGTACAATCTTACTAAATTTTGACCTATTGTATAGATCTAGGCTGTGTTGTTTGTTATACAGTAGTATAACAGTAATAGTGTATGTGTGTGTTTGAATTTTCATGTCTGTGGATATTTTCTTGTAAGGACAATTCATGCTTTTTCTAACATTCAAAACAAAACACTCAATGCAGCCATACTCTGATTTCACTAAGAGGTGAAATGTTCTTTGCTCTTGAATTTCATCTAATAAGTGACAGCTTAGAGTTTATATTACATTTTATGCTAATGGCTTTTGCTTTAATTTATGTTTATATAAACCATTTAAGTTTCATTGGAGATAATTGCAGAATATTATAGCTGTCTATTAGAGCTGAGCTTAGTACCTTGTTCAGCAAGGAATGAGCAGTAACAAACATATAAGGAAAATTTTCTGTTTTCTTTCCTATTTCTTTCCCTGGAGAGCCTGCTAGCACAACATTCTCTACCTATAGCAGAAAATTCTTTTCTCAATAATCCTTTTTTTTAAAATTTATATTTAATGAAAAACTGCATGTAGTTCCCCAGCTGGGCCCTCATAGGCTTTGGTATGTTCTACAGTTATTAAATTCATCTCCTGGTGGCAAATCATGTCACTCCCATTCTTTCTGAGTGATCAAAAATCTCCTTTATTAGCAGTGTTTGCATTCCATGAGATGATCTCAAAAATACACCTATACTGTTTTTCCTCTTGTTTCTCTTTTTTTCTTTTTTTTCTCTTTTTTCTTTTTTTTTAATACAAGCCCTCAGACCTGTTTCGTTGCTGCTGTATCTGAGGGCTGCTTTTCCCCTTTTACTGTTGGACATAAGGTGCCACTTCAAAATACCATTCAAACTGTCCTAGCATTCTTTTGTAACAATGTAAAAGTAAAGGCAAGTACAAATTAAAAACAAATGAACAACCTCTCTGCCCTCAAAACACCACCACCTTTTTTCATTTTATCATATTAAAAAACGGTGTAGCTTTCAGTATTTACAACATACTTTCCAGCTTTGGATGGCTGAGTGCAGTTGTGGATACCATTGTATTCTCTTGCCTCTTTGAATCAGCAGTCACTCTAAACAAAAATAGATAAATTTGGAGATCTAGTTGGTAGAATTCCTTGAACTCAAGGTCTCAGGATTAGGCTATGTAATGGCTGTTCAAGAGCCAGATACATAGTATTGAATCCTTTGCCCACAAAGGAAACAAGTTTGTTTCTAAACCTAATTTTCCTATTAGAAAAAAGCCATTTAACAAAACTGCCCCATTTGCCTTGGTCGTATTTCTTATGGAGGAAAGTCTGGTGAACTTTCAAAAGTTTTTTGATGCGATTATGTTACGGAGATAAAAGATGGAGTATTTCCTCTGCCTCTAGAAATCGTCCCATATCTGAATACTGCTGATTTGCATTTTCTTCACTTGTGCATGGGATTCACAATGCTGTTTCTCAGAAGTACCCTCTGGATTTGAAGTCCACTTTCTAGTCTGCTTACACGTTCCTTAGTGTACACTCCTTGCCTAAATTGTTGGCAGCATGCTACTTCTGTTGTAACCCATGAATAAATGGTAGCCAAAAACCAATAGGCTGATCTTGTCATTGCCATTTAGTAGGAACACTTAGCCGGTGAAGATGATACAGCCACTCCATAAATGATTTGGGTTTTCTTTGTTTTGTAGACTAAGTGATTACACGAAACTTAAGCAAATATATTTGCAAGTCTTGTCACTAAAGATTGTTGAAGCTGAGGTCTCATCATTAATTAGAAACTTTAAACAAAGGCTCAACTTTATTTAAACTGTTATAGTCATAGACATCTACAAAACTGTGATTGTCAGCATATTCTTTTATTTGACATGTTAAAAAATTGTCAGATTGTTATGCGTTGGAGGAGAGCTGTTTAGTGGAAGCATTTACAAACTAGTTTTGCAGTAAAAGTGCTATTTCAAATGTGCATTATGTACATGTGCAATGATTACTGGACGTCCTACCATAACACATAAAATAATAGGCTACTTTTGTTATTCACTTTGTAAAAGAGATTAAATAAATCTTATCTCACAGTTAATAAATTTGTAAAGCTGAAACATGATTGTTGTGGAAGAGAGTAAAGAAATTGTTTTGTCTTCAAATTCAAATATATTTCCTTGATTTCTGAGAATCTAGATTATTCTCTTAAGTATACTTATGTATACTTATAGTATACATCATAGAAATTTTTAAAAACTAACTTCAGACTTATTGCTTCAAGACAAGCTAACAAACTTTTTTTTAACCCTAAAAAAAAAACTGTAAGACTTCAGTTTCATTGATTAAAAATATTTAATCTATGTTCTAGTAATATTTTAGAATTCTGGTAATTGTGCAACTTTTTTTCCCCCTCAGGATGCAAGGCATGCTGCAGAAGGAGAAATATATACAAAACTAAACCAAAAAATAGATGAATTTATTCAGATTGCTGACTATGACTGGACAATGTCTGAATCAGATGGAAGAGCCAGTGGATACTTAATGGACCTCATTAACTTCTTAAGAAGCACATTTCAAGTTTTTACTCATCTACCTGTAAGTTTTCAAAATTAAGTGTAATTTCAATCCATTGGAGCATTATTTTATTTTATAACTATAAGATTTTGAAAAAATATGCGATTTTTTATTTGAATACATGCTGGCAATTAATATTTCAGTATTTTCAGTACAGATGTGCTTCAGATGTTTCAGTATGTTGATGATGCTTACCTATGATAATACTTAGAAAATGCTTTTGGATACTCTAGAACTAATGCAAACATCAGCTGATTTACAAATAGTCTAAGAAGTTAGGTAGTTTTCTAGAGCAGGCAAGTCCTTAGATGTCCTTCATTGTACAGTTTTGTGTACACATTCATTGATTCAAAGGGCACTGAATTCACGCAAGTCCTCCATTTTTGCAGATTCTGGAGGCCTTGGATTTGGTTGCTTTCAGTTAAGTAACTCTGATTAAAAAAAAAAAACTGTTTAATTCTTGTTAATTGAGTATCATTGAAACAACTCTGTATTCAAATATATCCTTTACTTTGTGCCACTTGAAAGGGCATTAGTAACATGTTTGATGTACTTCTTGTTACATTCCGTTGTCCACTTTCCCATTCCTTTAAGACAAAAAGGATTTTTTAGTTCGAGCTATGGTCGTAATAGTTTATACCTTTGTAAATGTGGAGTAACTTCAACAAGTCTTTCAAGATGCATCTGCTTTTCGTTGGTTTGTCCTTTGTTGCTGCTGTCATGCTGACGTCTGATTGCTTTACCCACGTGCAATGCCTGTCAGGAATCAGTTCTCAACGCACGAATGTTTTGAGGCTCCAGACTGGTAGATAATTTATTTACATTCACAGCAAGGTGCTGAAGTTGCTGACATAGTGGGCTTATCAGGTCTTCCAAATTATGTTAAGTGGCTGTGATTCTTTCATCTTTTTTTTTTTTTTTTTTAAATTACTCAAAGACATGGCCCATTCAGTGTTGATGTGAATGGGAAGTGTGAGGAACATGTTTCCATGCCAAGTCAATTGAGCAATTTTTTTAAATAAAGGATAACATGTTTGTTAAATTCACTGTCACCTTTTTGTTACTCATTGAACAAGTGGCGCTGCTCCTCAATGGCTATTTGTGTATAGCAGCTGTGAACAATGATGTACAGCTTGTGATATAGGTCTTCTAAAATGGAGTACAGACAGAAATTTAAAGGTCCTACTATCAGCTGAAAGAATGTTGTAGGTTTCTTGGATGAGATAATTTGTTAGGAGGGTTGAAAAGTAGCAGCTATGGCATTAAGAGACTTGAAAAACATTAAAGGAATACAAATAAGTGCCTGAGGATGCAAGCCAACCTTTGGAGAAAGGTTGTTCCTATGAACTGTTTATTTTGCAATTTAAACTCTGACCAGTTAACAAGCTGGAGCTGTATGGCTGAGCATTCTGGTCTGGCAGGAGGTTTTTTGTTGCCTTTGGATTTCCCTCTGTATCACTCTGGCTTGGCAGACTGTGGAAACATGCAGTCTATAAATGTGTATGAGCTGTGGAGACTGTATGAAAATGTGTGTACAGTGTAATTGTGGTGGTTCTTGTTAGATATGTAGTAGTAAGTTATTTTATCCAGAGAAAATCTACAGTAAAGATTTTCAATGGCAAGCTCAGAACTAGATTCCATAACTCAATAAAATACTAGTGCTATGGAGTCCTATGCAAAACTGGATTAGCTTATGCCACAGTTAAAACTAGGAAGAGTTTTAGTATGTAATTCCATTAGCAGAATAAGATTGTCACTGTGTCATTTCTATAAGTTTGTATTGCTGGCAGAAACAATCCTACTGCCCAAAATGGTTTGTCAGAACCATGTCTATAACTGGAAATAAAAAAAATCCTGAGCAGGGGTTGCAATTTTAGAAAAAAAAAAAAAAAAAAAAAAGCAGGACAAATAGAGGAATCATTTCCTATCGTGGTACATCCTATGGTACTGAAGGGGTTTTGGGCATCAGTTTGCTATGTTCATCCTCCATAGTCTGGTTCAAGGGTCGTTGACATTCTATCTAATATTGTTTCAAACTCTAGTTTTCCAGGAGAGGTGTTACAATCTGTTTACTTTTTAGTGGTTGTTGGATTCCTGTCATTAGAGCCCTGTCTTGTCTCAGATATATGTGTAAGCTGTGGAACACACCTGGAGGTCTCCTTTTATGCTCTCACCTGAGGCTATATTGAATTATTTCTGTAACAGTGTAGACATACGTTTTAAAAACATACTTTCTCTGTTAAATGTTTTGTGAAATTTGTATTATTTTAATTGGAACATAAGAGGTCTAAATTAGACCATGATCTCAGCGTTTTTGAACTTGCACACTTTGTGGCACAAGTTTGCTGGAGTCTTCTAGATCCATGGAATCACTGGAAACATCTTATGTCTCTGAATAGGTTTTTTTCAGTTAAGTTTTACATCTTAGTTTTCTCCTCTGTATATATGTACTGTGCTTTAGCATCTGTTTTGGAAAAGAAAATATACTCATTCCATCTTCCAGTTATAGCACCATTTCCTTTACATTAACAGTTATTTAAGGACATTTCAATTATTACTGTCCTAAGACATTCTAAATTTTGCCTAAGTATGTTAGTACCATACAGATAGCCTTCATAGGCCTAGGCAGTAAACATGGCATAAGTATTTTGGAATGTATTATTTGTTATATAGAAAACTTTTAGGAAAGGCCTAAGAACATATGTTTTCCAATCTGAAGTTTACTGTTTTGATATTTTGGCATACAGTTCTTTATTACAGAAAAGCATTTTATTGCTGAACCAGTGTTATTTAAATTATAATCTCTTTGTTGTACATTGGCAAAATACTATATAATTTCAAAGGTGTGGTTTTTTTTTTTAAAGCAATTATATGAATATAATTGTTATTTTTGGAAACGTTTCCTTATCTTTTATTGCTACCAATTTTTTATTCTTTTTTTTTTTTTTTTTTTTTTTTTTTTTTGATGTTGACAGTACATCTTAATTTTTTGTTTTGATTTGATTGCCTTACTGGTTTCCTTCTCAGAATAACAACAATGACCATGCAGCTATGTCGGTAAGTAGATGCAAGATGAAGAAAAAGCATGTGAACTGAAAAAACTATGAACTGCCTGCAGGCTTATTGCTTCAATTTTTAATCATTTAATAAAAAGATATTTCTGTTTTGCTGATGACTTGCTGAGTACCTTGTGTGATTGCATGCAGGAATCAGGTTAATGACTAACACAGGGCTTTCGTACACTGGAATGGCAGGAGCCCTAAAAGCCTTGCAGAAAGCAGGTGGGTGTGCATTGCATCCCAAATTAGATTTTTAGAAGCCTTTCAAAAGTGAGGTCAGGTATCAAAATGCAGCAATGAGGCATGCATACAGAATTGAGGTGGAGTGATATAACAGTATAAAGTATTAATGAAAGGTCCATCTTTTCTCTGCTACATCTTCTGGGGTCTAGGGAATGTGTTTGCCCAAATATATATATTTTTAGAAGATGATGGATTGCATTTAGGAATTCTTCCAAGCTCTGATTACTTTCAGGTAATCAATTTTGTACAAGCAGTTTATTTTGATTTAGCATAACATTTCTATTATAATGAAAATGTTGAAATTATTATTATTACTTCACTGATTTTGTGTGAACATATAATTTTGGTTTATCATCTCTAATGTAATTGAATCTTATTACTCTACGCTGTGCCATTCACTGTGTAAGTGAACAAGCATATAATGCACTTACTGTACACAGTGTGGGGATTAATGCTATGAAAGATGTAAAATTTGCAGTTAAAATGATGTTCTCAGGGAAAAGAATAATTAGAGTTTAAATAATGATAATTATGTATAGTTCAATGTTAGTGACCAGAGCAAAAGCTTTAATACTCAGTATCTAACTGGTCCACAGATGTATTCTTGTATTCAGTAAAGCATAAACTTCAAATACATGTGCAAGAAGTGGACAAATATGAAAAAGGCATTTTATTCTATTAGTTGAAGCCTTCAGTTTGTGTTGAAACAACTGTCAGTAGTAACCATAACAATTTGGAATTAAAATAAAATGTATCAGTTAAAAGGGGAAAAAATAGTGGAATCAGTGTTGTTATCTAAGATTCCTTGCTCTATTTTTTAGTAATTTTCAATAGTAATGTCAGAAAACTTCAATTGCTATTTTTGTAGTGTAGATTAGAATTTTGTATCAAGGGCAGCCAGGCGTCTAGACAGTTTTGTTACAGGACACCACTCTTAGGATTAGGTGCCAAAAATAATTGGGGGAATCTCAATGTCTTGATTACCAGGGAACTGGAAGTGGATCTGAAGTAGTTTGTGTTTAAATGTGCAGAGTGTGTCTGTAAAGCTGAGTAGCATCCATTAAATAGTTAATTCTACTCCTGACTGCCAAGAAAATACATTGGGCGTATATTAAATTATGTTAGGTTTGTTCTATCTTGTCTAATATGAGATGGTTTAAATGTTTGATTTTTTTTTGGTTGTTGGTTTTTGGTTTTTTTAGGATTTTTAGTTTGCAACCTAAATTTACCCTGAAATTTGACAAAAGATAAAACTAAAGCTTAATTCGTGACTTAACCTACATGGACACATCTAAATAAAACACCTCATCTAAAGAGTCAGCAGAAGAGTGTACTTTAAAGAAAGGTACTGGAAATAAAGGATATGTTTCCAATGTGTAAAATCCTCATTGATGTTCTCAGTTCTTCTCTATTTCCATTGGACTTGAGATTGGTGATCTTGTTAAGAAGTTGCCACCTGTCAATGGTTTACGGGCTGGTTCGGCCCAGTTCCGTGACTAGCGGGGCGGAGGGATCCGCAGATCCGCTCCTCCGGAAAAAGGGAACAGGGGACCCCAAAATAATTAAAAACAGCGGCAACGGTCTGAGGAGAAACAAACTAATTTACTAAATATATTATCGGAATGCAAGATAACACACCATAATACAATATAATTAAATTTGAAGCTAATAAATCAAATATAATGAGAGAGAGAATGTCCGAAAGGTGGATAGGCCTCA